TGCAGGCTGGGGGGCACAGGTGCAGTTGGGGCAGCAGGTGCCGCCATCGCCCGCACACCCTGTCCCGTCCACACGCTGCATCTGGGTGGAGAGCGGGCGCAGTGGGTCCATGGGGCTCTGAACCACAGACGAGTGATGAGCAGAGACGGGGGCAGGGGGAGTCCACTCTTCCTCCCACCGCCCTCCAGTCCTGTGACCTCCCGGTCGGTGGCTTAGTCCCAGGGAGCAGAGGCGTTCCCAGGCTCGGCTACATTTGAGGAGCCTGTGGGAGCCCCTCAAGCTGCATGTTTGAAAGGCTGCTTCTTGGCCGGCCCTGAGGGGCGCCCAGCCCTTCCTGGCTCCCCCACTCGACCTCACACTCAGGAGAGGGGTCGGGGGTCGGGATCTCCGGGCCCCAGAGGGTGGGAGGTCCCCGGCCTCCAGCCACTCTCCACGGCCGCCCTCCTTCCCCCGGGAAGCGCGCAGCCGGCCGAGGTGCCCTCTGCAAACCTCTACCCACTCCGTCCTCCCGGGACGCGGCTGACATGAAATCAAACCAGACGCTCTCCCAGCCAGACCAGGGGGTTCCCCCGCATCTGCCATCCGAGGTGTCGCCTTCCCAGCATGCTCCTGGGCGTGCTGCCAGGCCCGACACCACCCCCTCCAGGTGTAGGCCTCCAGCCCCGCAGTCTTCAGACAAAGCAGCTCTGAAGCGAGCGGGGAGGGCCCGGGGCATAATGCCCTCTGCCCTCTGCCTTCTGCCCTCTGTGCACCAGCCACTCGCCGCGGGTCCTCTCTGGGCGCGCTCGGTCCGTGCACAGCAGGGCTGCCAACGACAGGCGGGGAGGGCCCGGGGCATAATGCCCTCTGCCCTCTGCGCATGCCACTCGCCGCGGGTCCTCTCTGGGCACGCTCGGTCCGTGCACAGCAGGGCTGCCAACGACAGACCCCTCCCTGGGCGCCACGCCTGCTCCTGCCCCAGCTCCACCCTCACAACACCCCGAGAGGACGGGCACTGTTCTTAGACCCATTTCAGAGATGGGGAAACTGAGGCTCGGAAGGGCTAATTACCTCGGCAGAGGCAGGGCTGGAGCCCAGGCTGCCCAGAGCCAGGGCGCGGGCACCGCTGACGGTCCTCCTGGCTCTCGGACACCTGGCTGGTTGCGAGGAGTGTTTGTTGGCGCCGTTGGGCCATGGGAAGCGCCGGAATCTGGGGTGGGTGTCGCTTAGTAAACACCCGTGGCTGCCGAGAGGGACGCCTGGGGTGGTGCGGCTGGACGGTCCCAGCACGTCCGTGGTCGCTGCCCTGGCTGCTGTGGGAAGTGGCGGGAGCACTCGTGGCCTGGGCCTGCGTCCCCTGTGCTGGATGGAGGCAGGTGGCACCCTGGCACCCTGGCACCCACGACCGCAGGGCCTGCAGTACCCGCTCTCACTGGGAGGTGGCGCCCTTCCCCAACAGTTGGAATCTGTGGCTTTTAGGCCTCAGCGGCCACGGATCCCGGGTGTTAGTCAGGAAAACAAACCAGAGAGACCCCTTCTTCTGCGGGTCTCCCACCCAGCACTGGGCCGGGACCCTCCTGCTGTACTGAGTTCCCTCGGCAGACGGGGCACAGCAGAGAGGGGGGTCCCGCTCAGGTGGGCGTGGGGAAGGCCACCCCTGCCTCCCAGCCCATCAGGAAGGAGGTCACTGTCCACCCAGCGGGAGTGCAGGGAGCGATGGGGGAGGGGAGGGGAGAGGGGCCACCCAATGGCGGGGAGCTGGGTGCAGGCTGGAGGGAGCCTGCCCTCCCGGGTGAGGCGAAATGAGCCCGTGAGGGTGTGGATCCAGCCAGCGAGCCCCGGAGACTCCCGTGGCC